TCAATTTTATTTTATTTTTCAAAGAACCAACTAATGTTTCATTGATTTCATTAATTTATTTTTGTTTGTTTCAATTTCATTGTTTTTAGTGCTGATTTTAATTATTTCCTATCTTTTACTGCTTTTAGTGTTGATTTCTTCTTCTTTTTCTAGGGCTTTGAGATGTAATGTTAAGTTATTTACTTGGTAACTTTCTAATTTTTAATGAATGAACTCAATGCAATGAGCTTCCCTCTTAGAACAAACTGCCCTCTTAGTGCTTCAGAGGTTTTGATATGTTGTATTTCTATTCTCATTTGCCTCTGAGTATTTTTTAAAATTTCATCCCTGATCTCTTTTGCTATCCATTGGTCATGCAATAGTGTATAATTTAATCTCCGGGTGTTAGAGTAGCTTCTATTTTTCATTTTATTGTTGATTTATAATTTCATTCCATTATGATCTGATGGAATGCAAGATATTTTCTCTATTTTTTTGTATTTGCTAAGAGTTGCTTTGTGGTCTAAGATATGCTGAGAAGCAAGTGTATTCAGTTATTGATGGATGAAATATTTTATATATGTTTGTTAAACTACTAATTTTATTTTTTAGTTCCATACCTTCTTTATTTAGTTTTCTGGAGGTTCTATCCAGTGGTGAGAGAGGTATTTTAAAGTCACCCAGTAATATTGTGTTGTGGTCTATTTGATTCTTGAAATTGAGAAGGGCTTATCCAATGTACATAGAAGCTCCATTGCTTGGGGGCATAAGTATTTACAATTGTTATGTCTTGCCTATGTGTAATTTCATAAGCAGTATGAAACATCCTTCTTTGTTCTTTCTGATTAACTTTGACTTGAAGTCCACTTTATCTGATATGAGGATAGAAACCTCTACTTATTTATGAGATCCATGTGAATGATATGTTTTTTTCCCATTCTTTTACCTTCATTCTGTGGATGTCTTTGCCTATGAGGTGAGTCTCTTGGAGACAGCATGTTGTTGAGTCTTGTTTTTAAATTCAGTCTGTCAGTTTATATCTTTTGATTGATCAGATTAGGCCATTTACATTCAGTGTTATTATTGAGATATGATTTTTATTCCCTGTAATTTTGATTTATTTCTGGTTTTAAATTTGTATTAGTTTCTCCTTTGATTGGCTGTTCTTCTAGTGTAGTATTTCCCTTTGCTGTTTTCACTTTTATTTTCTATTTACCTATTAGGGGATTAAACACTGATTGTGTTAAGACTCTCACAACCCAATCATTTTTCCTCTGAACCTCTTGCATTGTCTCACAAGTGAGCTTTTGGGGGCACCTCACATCCAAACCATAATAGACGTCTACAATGTTAATTATCATAATTAACAGAAATGATATGATCAGTTATTGCCTACAATAAAACACAATATGTTTTCAAAAGGGTTGACAATTTTGAATGGTGAACAGGGAGAGAACAGAAGTGATGTAGGATGTGATGAATATGAAGGAAGAGTAGAGAAGATATAAGTAAAAAATTAAAGGAAGGGTGAAAAAGAGAACAGTCAAGATTGGCTATTAGCAAAAGAAAACAGAGAAATAGAATAAAGGGAAACATAAGTGAAAGAAAAAATTTATAAAGTAAAACTTAAAAAAAGTAATTAAAGAAATTAAAATACACTAAGCAAACATCTTAGTCTTCAAAAAACTGATCCTTGAAAAATAACTGGCTTAAAAAATTCTAGAAATGAGAAAAAAAAAGTGAATATGTATAAATGTCCATGAACCATTAAGGTCACAATTAAACAGAGAAAAGAAAATAGGAGAAAAGAAAAAAATCTCAATGAAAATTTAAAGAATTATTTCTATTGGAATTCAAAAGATTCTCAGCTTCCCTTCTCAGCAGTGTTAGGTAGGGTCATCTGGWGCATGATACTTGCTCCACGCTCAGGGTGGAGTTGCTAGTGTGAGAACTAGAACCCCAGGCTTTTTGCTGAATGCCAGTTGTTCAGGAGATTTAAATCAGCACCTCCAGGGCCTAGAGATTGTGGGTCCACATTGCAAGACTGCACCCCAGGGATCCTCCCTGGGTTCCACTTATGTGGTAGAGGAGCCACTTCTTAGTCCACTATGTCTTCTGTGACCCCATGTTTCCTGGTCTTGGGTTCAGCCTCCCAACTCAATCTATCCCACCTTCACCCTTTTGAATTCCCAGCCAGGAATTTGAGAGACCTACAATTCAAGAGACTAATGCCTCTCCCAGCTGGGCCTGTAAACAGCCAGATTGGAGGGGGAGGGGTGGAGCTGTGTGGGTTTCCATGACCAGGTAGTCAGTCCCCTATGTAAACCGCTCTCCATGTTCGATTTTCTCCTCATAACTTAAACACACTCTATGTCACACAATGTGGGTTTGCCAGCTCTGTATTTCTGGCCAGACTCGGGTTTGCTAGTACTTAGCTCCCTCAGTGAACTATCCCTGCACCTCCACATGCAACCAGGAGAGATTTGCCTTCTTTCCAATACAACGATATTGTGCAGTTTAGTCAGGCCGTGTCTTTGATCTCTAAACTCTCTGTACCCAGACATGCCTAAGGCCTCCTAAAAATATGTGTTCCTTTAGTTCCCTTGTCCCTCCACTTTACTCACTAAGGGACTGCTCTGGCTGGTGTCTCTGGCTGTGGCAGTGGCTATGCCACTGGGGATTTCTTATTATATCCAACCTCCCAAGACCCCAATCTGATTTGAATGTCCAGTATTAAATTCCAAAAAAGTCCCTCATTTTTTTTTTTTTTTCACCCACCTTGCTGAGAATCTGCCTGTCTGCTTTCTTGGTTTCAGGCCACATAGTAGCCAGGAAAGCAACCATCTCTAATCCGCCATCTTGAAACCCTCCCAAAATACTAATTTCAGGTGGCTTTACTGATTTTAGTTTAGGGTTTTTTTTTTTTTTTTTTCCGTTAAGCTAGGATATCACAGTTTAAATAATAAATTTATGTTATACATGGATTCATAACAAATGGCTTGGAATCTGGCTTGGAGTTGTATCTATCCCTGATAATGGAATTCCATTTCTTGTTTTTGATTCTTTTAGGAGTGTCAGTGGTCTCAAGAGCTAAAATCCACCAGGAATATACCTGTGGATTGACAAAGTGTGACTTGTTCACCATAGAGAACCATTAGGGGTCTCTGTAAGATGGTGTTACAAACAGGATTTGGGTTTGTGTGGGAGGTTTGGGGAAGGTTAAGGGAGGCAGGCTTTCTCATGGATTGGATTTGGCAGAAAATGGTGATAATTGTATGATAGGGTTTCATATTTATCCAAAACATAGGAAGAATGGAGTGAGGCTAAACTCATGGGAAAATAAGTGGCAATCATCTGTATTAGCTGGGATAAGAGCTATTTGGTCATTTTTTTGTGGATTGTACAATATTCACAGTTTTTTCCGTGTTCAGATATGATCACAAGTTGCCTTGTTTTTGATTCATGTTGGTCACAGTGGCCTTGGCTGATGTTGGTATTTTGTAAAAGTGCTTATTATGTTCATCTAGGGAACAATGGTCTGGTTGTAATTTCTAGCCTAGCTCCAGGCTTTTCAGGGTCTGCTTTTCTCCCAGGATTAAATAAAAATAAAGGTAAAAGCTATTACATATATGAATCCATAATATTCAGCAGTTGCTGTATGTGAATAAGTCTGAAAGGCAGCTCAATGTAAGGGAGTAAAGGCAGGATTATTTTCCTTTTAGCTCGATTATAGCTAACATTAATGGCTTTCATTTATTGAACACTTACTATGTGCCATGCTATGTACTTGGTGCTTTACAGGTGTATAGTTTTGCAAATCAAATACTTTTGATCATCTCCATTTTGCAGATAAGTATTCCTAGAATCTTCTAATCATTAAGTAGAATACCTGGCATTTTAATAAGTTTGGGCCTTTTTGGAGTCCACCATTTTCCCACTGTATTAGCATGCCTTTCTTTACAGAACTTGTTGTCTGTAAGTGTGGCAATATAATATAGAACTGGCAGGATTTTCTTGAAACTCAAATGCTTTCATACATCTAAAAGGATCTAGAAAAATAATTGCCTCATGGTAAACAGGCCACAAATGAGAGTTTTTTTTTTTTCCTCCTCTTTCCATAGAACTCGATGCCTCTGATTATGAGGGTAGATAAATTGGCTAGTAACTTAAGATGAAGTTGTTGAGTGCCACCAGACAACCTTAGTATCACAGAATCATAGAATTTTAGAGATTGAAGAAGTTTAGAGATCAAAAAAATTGTCAAGATTATCTCTTACAGATGAGGAAAAGGAAGGTCAGCAGTGTGCTTGATCTGTGCCATATCACATATTTAATTATCATTGGAGCTAGGCTGAGAACCAGGTCTGTCTTAGGCCCTTGGTTTTTCAGGCCACATAGCTGTTCTTTCACGGATTTCAGAAGTCACAGTGTGCTTTGGTGCTCTGGATTGCTCCTTGGTTGCTCTCACATATCTAAAGGATCACTGATGACATTTCAGATTAGAGCTCAGGCGCTTGGACAGAATTTGAGGGCTATGTGTGTGGGTGGGGTAGGGGTTTCCTCTTCCCTATTGTCATGTAATTTTACAGTTAAAAGTTCCTTTATATACATATATTTCAGCGCAGTTGGGCAACTTCAGCTAATTTATTTTTCTTGGGGTATTCTAGGTTCCCAGGGGTGCTCTACCACTGGGCCACATCTCCAGCCCTTTTTAATTTGAGACCGGGGCTTGATAAATTGCAGAGGCTGACCTCGAACTGGAGATTCTCCTTCCCCAGCCTCCCGATTTCCTGGAATTTACAGGTCTACCCCATCGAGTCCAGCTTAGCAATTTAAACGGGTTTTGGGAGCATTGYTTCCGGGAGCTAGGCAGTGCCGGGGGCGCGCACCCGGGGCGGGGTAGTAGGGCACCGAGGAAGGTAGGACCTGGGGCAGGGAAGGGCAGAGGCCAGACCGTGCTGCGGAGGCTGGAGTCGCGGGAGCGGCGGGGGCGGGGCTAGGCGGCGCGAGAGGGGCCGAAGGCGGAAGCGCTGAACGCGAAGTGCGGCGGGAGCGCAGTGGCCGGCAGCGCCGTGGCGGCCAGCGTCATGGCTGCTCACACTCGGGGCACCGAGCTCGGTAAGGGCCCCCGGGTCGCCTCCTTTCTTTTCCGCGCTTCCCGTTCCGCTGTGTTTCGCGCGGGGCCCACGCCGGCCGAGCGTCCGCAGAGGTTCCCGGCGGCCGGGAAGCGGTGGCGCCGGCGGCGGCGACCCTAGGCAGAGGCGGAGCCCCGCTGAGCTCCGTGGCCTGGGCGCCCTCGCCTGGTTCCTGTGAGCGGGAGGAGTGGGGAAGGATTGGTTTGCATCTTTCGCCCTAGCAGTTCACCTCTTAACTCTCTGGTGGCCAACAACAGCAAAACCCCAAATAAAACCAGACAAAAACTCTGCTTTCCCCCTTTTAATTCAATACGTATGCGATTTAATGCTGGATTTCTAAAAATAATTTTTAACATAACTCTCTCTAAAATGGCCTTTCTCCCCCAGGTACCAGGCTGGTTGGAAAAGTAGTCATGGCTCTGTGCAAAAAATATAGCATCGTAAATTGTGTATGATCTTAGCTGTTTATCAAAATTGTAAAAGGGCCTGTATTTTACCATTTTTCACTTATTGTTTGCTGGTCCAAACCCAAGGCCCTGCCTAGCATGTGCTAGGCAAGCATTCTACCACTGAGGTACACCTCCAGTTTCCGTCTTTCCTCTTATTGGTATTAGTTCAGATGTTACTGGTTAGAAAGCTTATTTTATATTTCCTAAACGAAAAATTTGTAATTCATATAAGGTTGGTGGTTTAAATATATAACTTGGCTAGCTTTAATATTCTGAATCTTTAACTTATTAGCGATATGATTTTTTTTTTTACAGCATTCCAAGTTTCTTTATCTGTAAAATAGTTATTACAAAGGTATTTACCTCATGATCTGGAGAATAAATAAGAAGATACATGTAAATTGGTACATCGTGGGTGCATAGTAAGAGCTAAATAAATAATAGTGTGTAAGAAAGTTCTGTTTTCAGGGACTTATTTTTCGAAAATTCATAGAGGTACTTTAAAAATGATGATTCTTATTAAACAATTGTAACTTTAAGAGTGGAATTTTTGTTGAGTGTTAGAGTCTAAATCTGCTTTTATAGACAGTTAATTTCTTCATGAACTACATTCTGTTTTAGTCASTCCTCTCCAGAAGAAGTTCTATCTCTGGAAAATAAACTTTAACAACAAATGAGTATTTGCTAGATTGGAAGATCTTGAAAGATGGATGGGGGCTAGAGTTGTAGTGTTTTGGTATTTCCAAGGATACTGGCTATGTGACTAGGTCACAATGAGGATATGCCATAATTTCCCCAAAACTTAAGTTTTAAGATTTTTCTTTCAAGTAATACAATTAAAGTATTGTTACTTTTAGTTTGCAAGAATTTAGAATCACTTTCATTTATTTGTTGAAGAATAATAGTATAGACAAAACAAATGCTTTTTAGAATAAATGTGATTTTCATGCCCCTTTTTAAATGATCATAGCTTTGTTTTTATTATTTTCTTCATTAAAATCAGATATATTGCAAGGGAGTTTTTCCTTAACTGGTATTTACCTTTAATTCAGAGAGATTTGGCCTCAAATACTAAAGTAAGCTATTTGAATTATTTATTTACTAGGGGAAAATCATTCAGTATTAATTTATTCATAGTATTGATTGATGAGTTTTATAGTGTTTTGTAATTGAAAATCCTTTTAATGAACAGTGCAGCTAATATTTTAGATGAATTAACTTTCTTATAAAAAGAAATTGATGTTTATTGTAAAAATTTTAGAAAATACAGTTGGCACAAGAAAGACTAGAATTATTCGTGATCTAATAATTGTAATGTTTATTTTAGTGGACTATATATACTTCTAGTTCATGGACTTAAATAAAAAGATTTGAGATGAAATCTGACCCTCATGATAAAAACCCTGCAATGAAAAAATTTTTAGCATGGCATTTGGACATACCAAGAGGTTTTCCAAATGGGGAATAGACCCTCTAATCTTGATGTTAGAAAGTGGAGCCCAGCATTCTGAGATTTACCAAGTCATCTGAGTGATTCTAAGTTCAGTTTTGAGAACCACTCTATCATATCTCTGTGGCCCTCCCTATTCCTATTACACCTTCTGTGGTCTATTAAAATTAATGGATATCTTCTCTCTTTTCCTAGACTTCTCTTAATTTTGCCTAAAATGTAGGTATCACAGGGGCGGTGATCTTCCTTTTGTTTGCTTATGTATCCCAGGCACTTGGTTAAAATAGTTTCTGTAACACAGATGACCCTCAGAAATATCCTTGAATGAAGGCATAAACTTAGAATTACTTCCTGCTTGGGGACCTTGGGTATCCACCTGGGCCCCAACATGGGGACAGGTTCAGTAAAGTACTGTACCTTCTTCCTCTTTCTAAATGTTTTTAAAATTCAGTTTTGTGACTTTTGTCTTAAAGGTGTGTCAAGAGGCTTTTAAAAGATGGACCTAGTGTTGCTTCGTTTCAAACGTATTCTTAATAGTTTTCTGAGGAAAGTGGAATATCTCTTCAGTTGTACACAAGATGTAAACAGTTTAAGGAATCTGTGAATTTCAAGTGAGAAATGACTAATATCATCTTTCCAGAATATTCATTATCATAATTATTGAGATAGAGGACATTAAAGTTTATCTTTAGCTGGGTGTGGTGGTGCATGCCTATAATCCCAGCAGCTTGGGAGGTTGAAGCAGGAGGATCCAAGTTCTGAGCCAGTCTCAGCAACTCCAGGAGACCCTAAGCAACTCCAGGAGACCCTGTCTCTAAATAAAATCACAAAAGGGCTGGGGATATGGCTCAGTGGTTAAAGACTCCTGGCTTCAATCCCTTGATACCAAAAAAAAAAAAAAAAAAAAAAAAAGTTTGAGTTAAAAAAACCAATCTCTACTTAAAATAAAAGAATAAGGTAGCATATTCTTTACTAAGTGTGTGAAAACTCTTCATTCATGTGGTCAAGTAGAATTGAAAATTTTTAGATTTCTACAAGGAATTTCTCAAGTGCAGTTAACTTGAGTTTTTTTTTAAACAATGCAATCGATTAATTTGTGTTTATGTCAATGTTTTTTCTTCTTAATACTTACAATATATATTCRTGGATGTGGTGGTGCACACCTGTAATCCAAGTGATTCGAGAGSCTAAGGCAGGAGGATTGTAAGTTCAAAGCTAGCCTCGGCAATTTAGTGAGTCTCTAATCAATTTAGCAAGACCCTGTCATAAAATAAAAAATAAAAAGAGTTGAGGGGGCTGGGGTTGTGGCTCAATGGTAGAATGCTTGCCTAGCGTGTGTGAGGCACTGGGTTCAATTCTCAGCATCGCATATAAGTGAACAAAATAAGGAATAAAGGTCCAAATAAAATAACATCAACTTTGTAAAGAGACAGGCCAATTAAAGGCAATGTGTAATTCTGAACTAGATCTTTCTGAAAGATCCAAAACTGGAAAACTGGCTACACTTGGAGTAAGCAGATTAGACAGTAGTAAGATACCAATGCCAATATTATCACTTTGACAGAGTCAAAGTACATGATTCCTAATGAGGAAAATGTCCTTATTTTTATGTGATCTATCCTGTGATATTTATCTTGATGGATTTATTTTTCTCTCATGGAGTAGTGATTATAAGCCATAATAATAATTTTTTTAACTTTGAAACAATCTCAAACCTTTAGCAGAGTTTCATATACCATACAAAGAATTTTTCCCTCTGAACCATTTGAGGAAAATGCGTGATTGACATTGGATTCCACCAACCCTGGATACTTTAGTATTTCCTGCTTATAAGCTAATATTTTTTTGTGGTTAGATATAAGTTATGCCTCTTTCCCAGGAATACCACAGAAATTATGCTGTTTTCTCATTGCATCTTGGTGGTAGCACATGATTTTGATTGGTCTCATAATTGGTGATATTTTGATCACTTGAATAAGATGGTATCTGCCATGTTACTCCACTGTAAAGTTAAGTTTTAGCCTTTGTAATTAATATGTATTTTATGGTAGGTACTTTGAAACTAGTTAGGTATCTTTTTCCTCTGCCAACTTTAATTAATAGTTATTTATTCAATTACAATTTTTTAAAAAGTATTTTTTATAGTAGATTGACACAATACTTTCATTTTATTTTATTTTTTTAATGTGGTGCTGAGGACTGAACCCAGTGCCTCACATATGCTAGGCAAGCGCTCTACCAACTGAGCTACAAACCCAGCCCAGTTATTTATTTATGTTATTATGTATTTGAGGTTTCTTATCTTCCCAATTAATTATAATTGTTAACTATTATTATTTACTTTAATACTCAAGTCTTTTCAGATTTTGATAGTAGTAGCTCCTTCTAGCTGACTTCTCTTCCTTTTTTTTTGGTGCCAGGAATTGAACCTAGGAGTACTTAATCACTGACTCACGTCCCCAGCTCATTTTTTAAATTTTGAGACAAAATCTCATTAAGTTGCTTAGGACTTTGCTGAATTTGCTAGGGTTGGCTTTAAGCTTGTGATCCTCCTGTCTCAGCCTCCCAAGTTGCTGGAATTACAAACATATACCACCATGTCCCACTTTCTCTTTCTTTAATAATTTAATTAAAACAATTTTTTTTTTTTGTTAGTACTGGGGATTGAAACCACTGAGCTACATCACTGGCCYTTTTAATTTTATTTTTGTTTTGAGACAGGATCTCACTAAGTTGCTCAAACTGGCCTTGAACTTGTGATCCTTCTGCCTTAGCCTCCAGAGTAGTTGGGATTATAGTTGTGTGCTATCATGTCCAATTGCTACATTTCTTCTTCTTTTTTTGTTTTTAGTGGTGCTGGGGCTTGAACCCAGGGCCTTGTGCATGTGAGGCAAGCACTCTACAAACTGAGCTATATCCCCAGCCCCCTCTTTTTTAAAAAAAAAATTATTATTATTATTATATATGACAGTAGAATACATTTTGACATATTATACATTGATGGAGTGTAATTTCTCTTTTTTCCAGTTGTACATGATGTACAATCACACTGGTTGTGTAATCATATGTGCACATAGGATAATA